CGAATGTCTATAGATCGAGCCAATGAAAAGTTGGGACCCGCAGTGCTCAGGCACTTGAAGAACGGGTCGTTCCCAGTATCTCCAGCATTCATCTTCACCTTGCGATTAGACTTTATGCAACTTACACAGTTGAAATTGTAAAGTGACCCAACAAGCAATCAGTAACCACCAACACTGTTGATTAAATAAATGGCTGGAATAGCAGGCGATCCTTTTGCATAACTAAGTGTAGCTGGAGGATTAACACTAACATGGCCGAGAATTAAGTGTTAAGGTGTGGAGCAGATTAAATTGAGCATAAAGACCAGTGGTAATATTTTTTTTAACAATGTGAAGGCGGCCGTACACGCTTAATTTTATACACAGTTCTGTCTGAGCAGTGCACATTTGGTGAGTCATAACTGCACGTGCTTAGGTTAAGACTGATGAGTGTTCAGTCCTTTTCGTCGGACTGAATGAAATTGGTTCGATTTGATATTTAACTGCGCAATTTGGACTGCGCACTTCTGGTTTCTGGCATGTTTACTCACTCACGTAACAGTGCAAAAACATTTTTCGTAAGTGACATTTTTACATCAAACTCTCCTACACGAACTGTAATTTTTGCTAGTTTAACTGAATAGTATATGTAGATAACTGAACACATTTAAACTGTAAGGGAAGCTACACGGTTTTTAAGATGGCTGTCTTCTGGACTGCAGCGATGTGTAGTCTGGTAGAAGTTTACCGACGTTTCAGAGGTTCTAAAAGAGCTATCTTTGTACTCACGGCCTTGAAAACCTCAAATCGAACCGTTCTGAACTGGACAGTCCAAAAACTGACTGTGCATGGGCATTCTTGTTCGATAAGAGCGGGTAATTTGCTCACCAACTGAGTGTCAACTTCCTATGAAACTCTGTACTCCACTTCTGCCATTTGTTCGTTCGTTATTTGTCGCGTAGAATTTAGAAGAAAACTGTTATGTGCATTCTTTCATTGTTTTCAATTTGGTTTGTGTTTCAGGACGTACAGATATTGAAGGCTCTGGTGCTTGGCGAAGAGGAGCGTGGTCAGAGCCAGTACCAAGTGATGTGCTTCTTGTGCCACTTCCAGAAGGGGGAATTTATTTCCTCTGACGCAATGTCCAAACTGCGGCAGGTGAGATGATCAAAAGAGACCATTGCGAGAGTCTTTATTTGTTCGTGCAGTGGATGAGAAATAAGACTGGACGTTTCCCAAATGGGATTATCCTTCGCCGAGGTTGTGAATCTGGGATGTGAAATTCGAGGCAGATTCTGAGCAGTTTGATTGCACATTTTGCTTGCCTACTTAATTATATGTAATATTAGTAACAAAGCTTCGAATATAAAATTACGTGAATTTTCTTTAATTAAAATCTTGAATGAAATTCCTCCTGGTGTTTGTTTGTTGTTGACTAGTTATAAGATTAAAGTTAAGATCCTTAAACTTTTGCCGACATGGTATTTGCAGTCGTTTTGTTTCAGAACTTTGGAACTTGAAAGAAACCGCAGTGCGGAACCGTTTTTGAAATCCCATTGCTCAGACGGACAGACTATATAGCCTGTAGCGTGGAGTGATACGATTATTAACGAATAATTGGAAAGGAAACAGCCATGATTTGATTTAAAGTACTGTTCTGGTATTCTGAGGAAGACCAACAAAACCTTAGCCAGGGTAACCGATATGATGTCCAAGAGCTGGTTCTGGGACCCCTCGAACATAAAGTGGGAGCACCAATCACACGGTCGCGACGTTCGGCTCCCATCTTTCGTGTCTGAGAGCGAAATTCCTAATTCTTCAGACCTATGGCGTATGGTCGTGCTTTTGTCTGTATTTCAAGTCTACGTTTTTCACGATAATTTATTAAGGGCGTAATGATTTGGCCAAGGTGTGAAAGGGGTTGGAATTGGTTTATTATTCTGGACGCAGATTAGAGAGGCGTGTGTTACTGGAATACTGAGGAGAATGTTTACACCTTAGAGGTAAAGGCGTGGGGGAAATTGCATAACGGTGAGCGTAATGTTTCTGCTATTGATGTAGATTGTTAGGGTCATTTAATGAAAATGGATTAGTTGGAGCGTGTCGCTTGCGTGGGAAAATTACGTGGGAAGACACCTGAAGGGGGTATTACAATCGATGTTCAGAGAAACAAGTTGTGTAAGTATGCACTGGATTCCACTACCTTTAGACAATGTTTAAAAACAATTTTTTGTTATGTCGGGTTGAATTACTTGATCAAGTGTTTTACTGCCACCGTAGAGGAATTCTGTTCCTAACTAACTAACTAACTAGATGGCTTACTGAACCCGAAGGTTCATCACCGAATTAACCAAAGCCCTCCACCGGACCCTGTCCTGGGCCAACAAAATCCAGTTTCCTTCAACTCCTATCGCCCATAGATCCCGCCTGAGATTATCCTCCCATCTACGTCTAGGTCTCCCCAGCGGTCTCTTCCCCTCAGGCTTCCCAACCAAAGAATTCTGTTCCACTAACTTTAATTAGTGAGACAGTCAGTGAGTTAATAATTTGGTTACTTTGTCGTTTAATTATGAAAGGCTTGTGGTTATCTGAAACGCATCTCGAATTGTTGTAAGAGCCCGGAAAGTCCAATCAGGAGAGTCACGTGCTAAAGCTGAATGGCACGGCCTGTAGTGACTTAATATTCTCAGCCACGGTCCACCCAGATTTTGTCTAAGGGGTGCAGGGCACTGTTTAACCTGGAACAAAGATGGCGAAGCGTGAAATTGACCTCTTAAGAGAGGTTTACAATGCGTTGAGTTCACTTTTCCATTGACCTTTCTTGGCAGTTTACTAAGGCTCAAGGGAAACCTTATTTTTACTTATTTCTGCTACACAGTAGTTCGACGACAGCTGTTGAGCGTGTTCGAAGTAAAGCCTGAAGTCCTGCTGACTACGTGTTTCGGGCTGAGGGAGTGATACATTCAGTACTGATATCAGTTTGACTTCTCAGTTCTTCCGATTACTGTGACGCTTGATTTGCATGTCAACAGAAAAACCCCGGAACGATCCGGACGCCGGAGGAAGATAAGGGCAGGGAAAATTTCACGATGGACCTGTTCGTCAACGTGGGGAAGTCCGGAGTCATATCTCGCCACATCTCGAGCCTGTGCGGTGAAGCAGGGGATGCCACCTACACGAGGGAAGCCGACATCAAGATGTGGGCCTCTCAGCCTGGTGAGTGCACGCGACAGACTAGTATCATGCAGGGTCATATTTGTTCTAAAAATATTATCTGATTTGATACCAGTATGTTAATGAGAAACTCTGGAGGCTTTATTAACGTAATCATGTGTCATCGATAGAAATTATTTGTTATTTCAGTTGCCCCGCTTTATTAACGTAATCATGTGTCATCGACAGAAATTATTTGTTATTTCTGTTGCCCCATGTTTTCAACGGTGCTTCTACCCGTGTATTTGTATGTGTGTAATCTGAAAATATTTTAGAATTTGTCAAATAAATATTATTTTTCGCACAAAGAAGACTGGATGCATAAAGCAAGCGCAACGTATTTGTACACGCAGTGTAAGGTAAATACTGAAAGGAACAAGGTAGCCGAAGTGTAGAAATGAGGAAATTACGTAACGAGCAGCTTGCGTGATCTTTCTCTTTACCTAATGTTGTTAGGGTAGTTAAATGGAAGAGGTTGCGGGGAATGGTCTTAGAGCCCAGACATTATCACATGCAGTCATAAGGAAATTTGTTGTTATTATGTGAATTAGATTGTGTGGGCGTGGATGACGGTCAGGTGGCACGCGTAGTGACGGCGGTTTTGAATCTTCAGATGTGAATACCAATCTTTTAGTTCGTCAGTCAGTTAGTTTCCTGAATACAGAGACTAGTTTCATGAACTCTTCTAACTAGGGAATTATTTTTACTTGTGGTAAAGATGCGCGTTATTTTTCTTTTATTTGTGTCTCCTATTGTGTTGAATTATTATTTTTTCATGAGCGGTTACAGTAGTTTGAAATCGTATGGTAGGAACTTCGATTTATTAACTATTACGCCGTGTGGACTGGCATTTAGATACCAACGTTTCGGAGAAACATGCTGTCTCCTTGAAGATGAAGCGGTTTCTCCGAAACGCTGGGATAGACAGTGAAAATTGACGAATGGAATAATGACTGATAAAAAAACTTTTTACTTTGCTATTATAATGTTAATTGTACAAGTTTTTCGTATGCCTACTTTTGTTCGTAGGTAGTGACCATGAAAAGCTTTGATCTGCCTGATAATAGATTATCTCCTTTTGTTATCGGTGACATTTATCTGAACAAATTTGTTTTGAGAGCTGGACGTGTTTCATCGAAGTATTTTCAGACCCAGCTTTGTCCATCAATGGTGCTGTTTTAATCAGCGGATTGTGAATCCACTAAGAATTTTATCTAGTAATGTGGACCAAGTTGTTGTTGCTGTAGAAATGGGGACTTGGTTTGGAATATGGGAATATAAAAGGGATAGGGAGGGGCTTGAGCAATCAATAGGAAGATGTGCGTGCAGTGAGTTGAAACTACTTAGCTGAGTGCGGCGAACTATAAATTTCGTTTTGAGGAATAGAACTTTCCTCTTCATCGTGGATGGCAGGAAACACAGATACAGTTCGTATCCAGAACAGTCTCCTGCGTCTTGGGAATGGTTTGGAAATGTAGTTACACTCTGGAAGTAGCCCACAGCGAGCAATCCCTCTCATGTTGCCGCTTTAGTGCTCATTTCAGCGGAAACGGAACAAATTTGTTTAGCAGCTTTTTCATCTCCTTTCTCCTTCCGATGCAACTATGATTCTCATTGAATGGCGTTTTTATTTATTTGCGTTATAAATTCTGTAGGAACTAAGGAAAAACTGTGTAATACAAGGTTCAATATTCCAGAAGACAAGTCATCTTGAGTCACTCAAACCCTCCCCAACCCTACGTCACTATATAGGACCTCGGCAGTGTATTAATTGTTGTTAAGCAACTCGCCAAAGAATGCGAACTAGCTCGAATACGTAAGATTTGAGGTTTTCACAGAGGTGAGTATGAAGATTTCTGTCTTCTGGGTTTTTTGCGCTGTGTAGTATGGTCGATGAATCGCCCTGATGACGGAGGCAGTATGACCTCTGAAACGTTGGTAAACATCGACCAGACTACACGGCGCAACAACCCAGAAGACAGAAATCTTCATAGTAGCTCAACTAGTTTGCATTCTTTGGCGAGTTGCTTAACAACGATTAATACACTGCCGAGGTCCTGTATAGTGACGTAGGGTTGGGGAGGGTTTGAGTGACTCAAGATGACTTGTCTTCTGGAATATTGAACCTTGTAGTCTAGTACACGGTTACAGACGTTTCAGAGCTGCTTTGCTGCCTCCATCATCAGGTCTTCCAAAAGACAGTCATCCTCATATTCTCCGCCGTGAGATCCTGTAAACCTCACCTTAATAAATGTTGCATCATTTTGGAAGTTTTATTACCGCATACAATTTGAGTATGTTGTCCAGTGTTATAGTAGTAGTTCCACTATCGTTTCGACTTGACAATTTCCCATGGTCGCCATATTGTTAGCTATGAAAGTAGAAAATTTAAAAGTATAAAATTTGGATTCTACTAGTTGCATGACGTTCGTACGAAGTCCCGTGAAAATCTACCTAAAATTCAGGAATTTCACTCTGTATGTATCGTTACGCGCGAGATTTCACGCTTTTGCTTTCGATAGATGAAATCGTAGATGCTAAAGCAACGAACTAGGCAAGCGCAGACAATTTAATAAACCTAAGGTTGGTAGCAGTGCAAAGAAATCAATTGAGTTTAAATTAGATTTATCATTCGTATCTACGAAATAGGTCTCTGGAGCCAATTTAGTTTACTGTTTGTGTCGGTAGTTTCAGGAAGACTGTGTAGCCCTACGCAAAATGTTAACCCGGCCTCACTCAATCCTTCACAGACGTTATTTTCGTCTGCTGCGTAGTCCTATCAGCAATCTATCATCTGCCTTTGGCACTTTTGTGAGGGAAAGGACTATCTATCATTGGAGGAATAAATTGCCCGCCCTCGGGCTTCAGGAACACTGTTTCACACCTTCTGTACGTTTAGGGGTAATATAATGCACTCTTTTTAACAGAATTTCCTATTTGTAGTACGACTATTTTAAGTATAATTGTAAGTAGTGTATGATGGTTGCTTTCCAAAACGACAGTTTCAACACTAGAATGTTCTTCATACCATATCCTGCCATTGTAAACCAATATACATACTCCCATTGTCACAACCGTCCCGAGACCAATCTCCCAAATGCTTCGAGATTTTATGTTCTCACCGCGCTGAACATGTCGGTTGTGATCTGGTTTGAGACCTCATGAAATCTTACAGGTGATTACGAACGTTTTGTAAGGACATACAGTCTTCATATTCGGGGTTGAAGTGAACTCCGAAGATGGATACGGTACGTTTCTTTAAAATTTTTAACTATACGTTGTCACAGCTCAGAAGACCACAATATTCTTGGTGTATTGTGAGGTTACGCCACTGAATTTCTATATGCGTTTCTTTGTACCAGCTGCACGCACAAAACGTCGCCTCGAAAATTTTTACACCCGACGTGTGAAGTGTTTTTCAAAGGTACGCTCAGAGTTTTGAGAATTCCATCATATGGCACTTGCTTATTCCGAATGATTCACATAGGGCCTATGGTAAATAGCATATTAAACATTCATCCATCGTTCCATCTTTATATGTAAGATTAATTTATATTTAAGTAATAGATCTTAAATTGTTAATAGTTACCTTGAGGGCCTACTTCTGTGTTTACAGGGGTCCGCCATTGTTGAACATCCTCTCACCCAGTTTAATATTTTCCCATCCACGTCTAGATCTCCAGAGTGGCCTTTTTCCTTTAAGATTTCGGACCAAAACTTTCTGAGCATTTATCGTTTTCATACCTGCTACGTTCCCTGTCCGTCTTAAAATGTTAATGCATTCAGGTAATAGAAATAGATTTTTTCATTGGTACAGAATCGCTTGCCTTTGGATTTTTTTAAAATAAGACGAACAGTTGGAAAATTAAACCTTTTTTTAGCTTTTCATTTGGGTCAGTACTCTGTATTGAGTTATGTCTACCGAATTGAATTCAGGATTTAATTCGCCCTTGGTACGAAGAACGTTTTATTTCTGTTGAATGAGAATTGCCTTTCTGCAAATAATCTTATTAGTTTCTGCTAGCGTCTCTTTCCTTTTTTCATCGTTTAAACCTGATTTAATTTTTGTATCACGTAGAATCATCGACGAACAGCATATTGTGCTTTATTATGCATTTCTTCTTAAGTATTAAGTCTGAAATTTTATACGATCCACTTCATAAGGACAAGGAAATCTTGGCCGTGAAAAGAAGAAAATCGGCACTGGGTCATTTGGCTTGATTTGTGCCCTAGAGGAACTTAATGTCTTAATACTACAGCTACGTGTAGCATGCAGTATTTAAGATATTTTCCTTTCTTGAGAGACAGTTTGTAGTTTTGGGATTCTTACTGTGTTAATATTTTGTAATAAAAATACATGACAAAATCTGTGGAGGACATGCATTACGAATTGGGGAAATAAGAAACGTGTACAAAATTTTAGAAGTAAAACCTTAATGGAAGAGACCATGTGGGAAACACTGGCATAGAGGGATAGGTAATATTAAACTTCTGGTTTACAAAATTGTTATATCTGCATGAAGTCAGAATGAACGTATAGATACACTCGAGAAAAACACGTAAACATAGACTGTGTTGGCCATGTTACTGTCCGTCAGTGTAGTCTGCTATTACAGGTGTTAATTCCTTCTGGCAAGGAAAGAACTGTATAGAACATTCTTTATTTTGGTAATAATTATTCATCTGGAATGCATTGCTTGCTGTGCTGCATGTAAGACAATTTAAATGATATTGAATTTTTGAACATTAAATTCCACGTGTCAGTTCACACCTGCGTCTGTTCAGAGATTACTAGCGTCTGAGAACGTGTTCCAGTTTAAACTCCCATTTTTCATGTATTGGTATGGACCGATCTTTATTTACATTTAAATGCTATGAAAATATGCGTCTGTGGACCCTTGGACGGTGATCATTTGTTTTACAGCCACGTGTTTGATCGATTTGCTTCCTATAAAGGCATGTAGGCCACTGCTAGTTTTTATGTGAGCTCGGATTTGGGCTGA